TTCTCTCTTTTTTTTTTTTTTTTTTTTTTGCAAACTCAAATTTCATTTCAAAGCTCTTTGTCCTCTCTTCGTGCGCTCTGCTGTATCGCCTTTCCTGAGATCTCCAAGCATGAGCCTTTTGCGAGGAACAAGCCCTCACGACATCACATGTTCTGGGCAAAGGCCCCCAGCAAGCCGAGTCCCCACCCTAAGTGAAGGCGGGCCTGAATATTCATCAAAGGCCACAATTCGACACTTTCATATGTGGGTATTCAGGCTCTTGCAGCACGCCAGTTGGTTGAGTGGACGCATGAGCCTCACTAAGCTGCGTCGTGCAGTTGGCCCAGGCCTTGACAGTTGCGCCTGGGCACATACACACAAAGGAGGGCCGATACATTGAGAAGCAGGCCATTGGACTATGCAAAAGCAGTACTGTCGACGCACCTACCCAGGAGCCCTGCACAGATGCAGCAAACAGCCCAAGTCCGGAGACTCAGGCCGTGCCCAACTGGTAAGGGGGCGAGGCCCTCAACTGTAGTCTCGGGCCTGGGCGCAGGGACTGAGGCCCAACCAGAAGTTACGGGAAGCTTCCAGCCAGGCCACATGCAGCATCCAGGAGGCTGCCACTTCCATATAGGAAGTGAGGCACCTCAGGCCAGGCGTTCTGGCCTGCGTAGGCAATGCGGAAGTGCTGCTGCGCTACTGCTTGATGCTGCGCTGCGGCCAAGGGGGCTGACGGGGCGCGTAGAGGTGAAGTGGGGCGCTGCAGGGCAGCAGGGCGCAGGCAGCCATAGCTGGGCTGCTGGGCGCCAGGGGGTAAGAGGGCGATCTGGTGGTCTTCAGGGAAGGAGGCGAGTGTGGGTTATCGAGGTCTGATGAGGGTGACGAGATACGTGCCTGGTGCATGAAGACAGGCCGGCTATGGTGTTGACATCATGTACATTGGTCTTCGAGAGTCGAAGTGAGCCTGTTGCTTGAACACAGCTGTAGGTAGGATAGTCGAGTAGAGTAGGCTGGGCGCTGGGCGCCAGACAGAGAGGAGGGACTTTGGATACTGTGTTGGTGTGGCCTGAGGGCTTGAGCATTGGCTCATTACTTCATTGTATTGCTCTATTTGGATGGATTCTCGGTGCAATTATGCTCTCCGCTTGTACACGACTACTTGGACATCTGTGTGATTTCACAACTTGGTTTTCTGTATATCGTTTACGCTCATATTCCTTGCACTTTTCCTTTTCCGAAGTTTTTTTCCTGTTTTGGCAACTGCGACAAGGCCCCCATCGAATCGGTAAAATGATATACAGATACGTACCTCCTACCTTCTGTGCAGGAAATTCAGGAAGGAAGATGGTTGTGCAAGGAGTGGTCAGATGCAATGCATGCTGAAAAGCATGAAAATGATGCTCTCTGCTGCCCAAGGATGATGATGGTACCAGACGCAAAAGACGGCGCAAGGGACCAAGAGAGACTATCTGTGAACCGGTCTCTTGCTGAAGGTCATCGGATCGAATCCCATGATGATGTCAAGATACTGATTCCACTTTGCAAGCAACAAGAAGTCAAGCTCGCACTTGCCAAGGACAGAGGACGAAGAGCGAATACAGCAAACGAATAGGATAGGATAAAGTGCATATAAATGAAATTTCAAATTTCATTATTTCACATTTCAAATTTGATAGATCGCTTTTTTTTTTTTTTTGGAGGTAAACAAAGCTGTTTGTGAATTTCGTCGGCAGTATAAAATTAAAAAAAAAGAAAAAAAAAAGAAAGCCTACTAGCTAGCTTTCTTCCTTTTTTTTATTTTTTATTAAAGCTACTAGCTAACGTTCTTCTTTTTTTTTTCTTTTTTTTAAATCTACTAGGCTACTAGCTAGCTTTCTTGAAGTTTCTTCCTTTTTTTTTTTTTTTTTTTTTTTTTTTTTAAGCTACTAGCTAGCTTTCTTGAAGGTCCTCTCGTACTGACTTAGATTACCGTTGCGACGACGGTGCATTTGTAGGGGAATCCGCTTATTCTGGATTCATTGAATTGAGAATTAATTTTTTTTTTAAATAAAAAAAATTTACTTTTTGTCATTGCGTATCATGTAAGTGCATGGTGTGCGTGGTTGACGATGTATTCGTGAGTTTATCTCCCTATCCACTTTTGAACACCTCGAACCACCAGTACTTCCGAAAGTCGTGCCTGGAAACAAGCCACAATTTTAGGAACCGTACAGACGACTACAGGATCGCCAAAATTCATCCGACTATAAATGTTTCTACTCTCTTTTTTCTGCGGCTAATAGCTGGGCCAAAGTACTGGTGGTTCAAGACTTGGATTACGATTGCAGCAACAGTGCCTCTGCAGGGGAAAACTAACCAGTCTCGGAATGGTAACCATTAGGGTAAAAGTCTTAACTGTTGTGAGACGGGTTAGTTAATTTTTACCTTAGTCATGCTATACCGGGTAAAAGTTTTAACCGTTGTGAGACAGGTTAGTTATTTTTACCCTAGTGATGCTGCACCGTCATCACAATGGTTAGTTTTATCCTGCAGATGCAGTGGTCATTTGGTTTAGTAGGGTAAAATTAACCTGCCTCGCAATGGTATCCGGTAAAACTTAACCCTTGCGAGACCGATTAGTTTTTTACCCTACTGATGCACAGTAGACCATTGCGTTGCACTGGTTAGTTTTATCCTACGGATGAAATGGTCACCTCGCTGGTTTATCCGACCGACCTCACTGTCGTTGCAACGGTTACGAGTTCTCTACCCTACTGGACAGTGGACACCATTGTGACGACGACAGTGGATCAGGAGGGTAAAACTAACCATCAGTAGGGTAAAACAGTAGAACTAACCTGCCCCACGACGGCGCATCAGCAGGGTAAAACTAACCTGCATCAGTGTGGTTTACCAGAGTGTTATCTCTGTTTTGATGAAGATGATGAGCGTGTGTCAAAACTCTCTCTCTCTCTCTCTCTCTCTCTCTCTCTC